TTTTTTGTTTTTTTACTATTAATAAATTTGAAAAAGATTTTGGAAAGTATCACTAGGATTGATATTGTTCAATATAATGCTGCTTATGGTATTTGTTAAAAATAAATCTTGTCAAATATTATTTTTTCCATTGAAATTTATGAAAAATCGTTGTCTTTTGAGCTCTGTGATAATTATATTAAGTACTCTCTCTTTCTTTTTTCCTCTATTAAATCAACGTTATTATTTTCAACACGTATCATAAACACCATTATTGTCAACGTTATCATCAACGTTAACATCAATGTGTATCGTCAACATGTTTTCATGTTATCAGCAACGTGTATCATCAACACGTTACCATTTTTGTCAATGTGTATCATCAACACGTTATTGTCAACGTATACCATCAACGTTATCATCAACTATCAATGTAGGCTTGTAATTCACTCGTATCATTTTTTTTAATGTAATGACCACAAACAAATTCAGTAAAGGCTGAAAGTGTTAACATACCTACTGCCTCTGCTCCATGATCCACATCTTCTCTGTCTTGATTAATGTCATTCAAGTAGCCTTTTCAGGTTTTAACAGTGCCATCTCAATGACCTTGGTTGTCCCCACGTTATCATCAACATTATCATCGTGCACTCATACAATATTGTAGAGAAATCATACTAATAATCCATTATTCAAATGTACGATGAGATCTAATTTCATATCTGTTTTTCATAACTGAATTCTTTTTATTTTATTTTTAATATTTTATTTTTGTAATTTGTTTTTAATGTATAATTTGTTTTAAATGTATATTTTATTTTTTAGTTTTTTGGAAAAATTTTTTCCCACACACAGTTAATTTTTTTATTAAAAATAATAAAAGTTTTAACGTTACCATGCAACAGCTCCTCTGATCAGATACCCAACCGATATGAATATCCTCTCAACATGGAAATCCGTTACACGGCCGACCTCGCACACCGTGAGGAATGGTCAGTCAGAAGCCTACCATGTCTTTACTTATACCTTCAGTCTGCAAGGCGAATAACTGGATCTTACAGCTCCAACGTCAACCCCAAGATCCCCCATACATGGACTAGCGCCTGATTCCTGATCAAGGAGGCTTATGCTAATCCATATATAAGAAACCCTGTAACTGAAGATTGATACCAGTGATCAGCTAATATCGAATAATCAGCTATCTACCAATAATGCAAAAAATTTGAATTATATATTTACTGAAAAAATTTTTTTTTTTAATTATGGGATACTAACACACTCATTTAACAATATTTCATTGGATAAATTCTATTTACTAAATATATTTTTTTTTATTTCTTTATTATCATACAAACTAATTTCAATTCCAAAAACATAGAGTATTGCAACTGTGCAAAAGTCAAAAGGTTTCGCCATAAGTCGAAACTGGTTTTGACTTTTGACATATAACTTTTAGTTTTAGCTTTGACTTTCATCTCTTTGGTGACCGACATTAATACAAACATAAAACAATTTTCAAAAATATACTTGATGACTGTTTTAACAATTATTCAATAGAAAAAGTAGAAGTTGTATGATGGCGGGTTTGTGGGAAGCAACTGTTAAAAAACAAGATGCATGATCTATGAAGATTCCAAGTTTTGTATATAACATTTTCCTTTCTTTTTTATTTATGATCAAACATCCATGAATCTATAACGCAAATAATAAATGATATTATATTCTCCTGCGACAATTAAGTATAGTAGAATAAGGATCCCATTTCAAAATTATCGTTTATAATAAATAATTATTTATAAGTAAAGGAAAATAGAAGAAAATAGTTGTCAAGTATGTCGAATTAATAAGTCAAGAATATGGAGAAGGTTGTTAGAAGCTGCATTAAAAGAATATAATAATAAAAAGGTAAAATCTAAATACAAGTTTTTTTATTCTTTACCATATATCTAACTGCGAAGTTTTGATTATCCTTTACTTTTGACTTGAAGATTTAATGAATCAGATTTTTCTTTATTATCAAGAAGTTTATCAACACACTTTTTGTATGCACTGATACCATTGCCAGGATCATCTAAATTAGACGGTATAAACTTTTCTATATCAATATAATCATCATCTTCAGATTATGCATGTTTTTTGGAGGTGACATATTTGGAAATGGTATGTTTTAAGCTTTGCAAATGATTTTTTTGTTTCTTTAATCTGGTATTGAATGTTTCATGCAATACATTATAACTCCATCACAACGAAGTGGTTATAGAAATTTCATTTAAGATTCATTGAAACTAGAGTAAGATTCATTGAAACAAAATGTGCATGTTGATTGATAATCGGGATAATTCATAGTAATAGGATTTATTATTATTATTATTATTATTATTATTATTATGAATTATTGCCAATTTCTCGTTGTTAAATATTTAGCTGATAACCGCAGTGAATGGTGTATTAACAAAATGGGTGATGATGAATGAAAACTGAAGGTGTCAGGAATCTTACAGGAGGTTAGTATTAAAGTTTATGGATTACATAAAATGATGAATCTATGGCAATGATAGATTAGTTTTGTTTGTCATTGCTGAAGTTTGGGAGGGTGTCGACCCGGAAGAACGATATTGTTAGGAAAAAATAATATCCTTCAGATGTCGAGGGTTTGCTCCTCCTGGTTATGCATGGCATTCAGCTAAAATAATTATGCCTAAATTATAATTATGGATTATGCACATGCAAATGAAAATTATAATTATTAAATCTTGTGATCACTAACTTCATATACCGGTATATGTTGTTGTATTGGCCATAGATGGAGATTGGATACAGATGCGTAATGGGATTAAATGCTATAAAGGTGTTTAACATGGTACAGTACTCGCAATCTAATTACCAAAATTTCTTAATGAGATGCAACTTTACTTAACCAAATATACAGGATAGGGAATCAAATCCTGATCGGGCGAGAGAGAAAATAGAACATAATATTAATTTCTTAAAGGAAAATCTTAAGTTAGATGCTAGGCAGTTTGGTTTTTGTAATTGTCCACAACCATTGTAGCTAATAAAGTGGGTTTATGTTTAGCATCCTATATTAGAAGTGGACGAGTATCTCTGCGATGCTCTTGGGAAAAAGATAAATGCCATCGACCCTTCAGGCCTTTCGTGGCAAGACCCAGAAGCAAATATGGTCTTATGCGATAAATCAAAGATCATAGAAAATTTAGGAGACAGACAGAAGCGGGTCTTTATGGTAAGAAACAATTGTATTTAAGTGAGCTAGTCCTCACATACATTTTTACTATATATTTATTATTAGCAACCACGCGAGAACATGAGATGTACCCTACCCGATTCCAGTTGTATCTAAGTGTGATATATTCGTGGAAAATTTTAAGAAATCGGGGGTTCCAAGAGAGATGAGGAACATTCCCCACAATAATAAATGGAAAGATAGCAATTCGGTTCTTGTAAAAGTAGTAGACCGTATTTTAGCTGTACTGTAAGTACTTCTCTGGGATTTTTCTACGTCCATCTTCACAATCATAATAACCTTTCTGATATCGGATATTAATTAGTGGTGAGATTTGGAATAACCCGGCATTTGCAACAAGAGCGTCTTGTGATGAACAAAGTGAGGGGATGTATATTACAGATGTTGTTGTTCCCTTGCTCCAAGTGAGTCTGATGGATCTTCCGAATGGTTATATATGCTTGAGCACGTGAGTAGATAAGTAACAAGTTGAGTATTTTTGCTTTTATTATTAAAATATGTACACCTCTGTATTCAGAGCGGAATGTCAGAGTATAGCTAGCAAGGTTCGGAAAAATTTTGGAACGAAAGATAGGCGAAGGAGTAAGAAGCCTGATATTATGGCAATAGAGAAATATAAAGAAGGTGATTGAGCTTTTATATGCTGAGAGTTCACATATCATCTGTAGTAATACAAAAAAAGGGATGATGATGTAAAATTGTGGAGGGAAATTTTGGACAGTGTTAATCTTGTAAATTCCATATGTAGGCAAACTAGCAATCAATTTGGTATTGTTTGGATACAAGTGGCTGGCGAGAATCTATTTCTCGATGTTATAATAAATGGTTCATGCGGGATTCCGAGACTTTTTCATCTAGAGCAAGCGGAAATACCTCTGACTTTAGATAGGGCACGGCATGTAAAATTTCTTATACGCTTATTGCTAACTTTGAGGAACATCCTAATTGTAAACAAATCTTTGCTCATGCATGCGTTGGAACAAGCTATCTCACTACCACCTCGAAACTTTCGCCCAATCCCCACCATTTCATTACCAACACATAAATAAATATTAAGGTAACATTTTATATACTTTCATTCTGTGTTTTATTTTTTTTTATATATCAATAAGGTGGTCAAGATTACTTATATTCAATGTAATCAACGAAAAAATAGGCTAATAAATAATACGTACGGATTATGTCTGACAATTTCCCCACTACGTGTTGAGAATATGTTAATCCCCCCAAAGTGATGTGCTACATGCGAATTTTTTATATTAAAAATGAATTTTGAAATCTGTATTGCAGATCCTTTATCACGTGATACTAATAAGAGAATGCAACGTGACAAACCTATTTTAAAACATGTGACTGTAAAAATTTTATTCATTTTTGATTGTGAATTTTTTCCCAAATCTGTCGCCGTGGCGCAGAAAGTTGTAGGGACTAGTACTAGATGTCCTGCACCATATTCGTTTTATTCATTTTATTCGTTTTATTATTCATTTTATTCGTTTTATTATTCGTTTTATTCATTTTATTCGTTTTATTATTCGTTTTATTCGTTTTATATTTTGCTTTATTCGTTTTATTCTTTCTGTTATTTGTTTTATTCTTGACTTTTTGATTATCATCGTCATCAAGTATGATTACTGGTTCTAGATTACACCTACTATTATTAACGTTATTAATATAATTGTTGTTGTCGTTATAGTTGCTTTGATTTGAATAATAGTAATTGTTAGAAGTCTTCAAAGTTAAGTTTTCAGGTAAATCATTATCAATACTAATATCATCGGGATTTTCTTTGTTAGACAATAATACCGTAGAACTAAGTGTAACTTTACTTGCAGATGCTTTTTGTGTTAATAATAATGGTATACGGGTTGGTGTTAATTCATAATCATAATCATAACCATTATTATTATTATCATTGATCGGCGAGGAAATTGTCATTAAATTATGGCTACTGTTATTACTACGAGATCCAATTAATTTGCATGATGTAGTACTATTGTTGTAGTCGTCTAATTCTAATTTTTTACACACCAATATATTAATAATATATTATCATTGAACAAAATGAAAATATATATCTTGAAAAACTTTTTTTAGATAAATTACCAAATAAATTGCTGTTATTTCCCTCATTAGTTTGATCGTAAAGAATGTCAGGACATTTTGACGTGTTGTATTTTTTAAATATTGAAGAGCTCGCACATGGTGTCGATGGTGATGGTGATGATGAGATTCTTGCTTCTTTAAAACTATCAGAAATGACTTTTCTAAATGGAGAGCCGTTGTTATTGGTATCACGATCGATTTGTAAAAAAAGTTTACTTTTTTTATATGGAGAATTTTTTAATTTCATTCTCTTTTTGAAAATAAAAAAGGAATAATTTATTAATATTCATATTAAATAAATTACAATTAACGATTATATAATATTTACATAAAATGTCGAAAAAAGTTGATTTAAATGAGAATAATAATAAAAGAACAATTTTTCGTGTTATTATTTTTGCACATGATTTATGTAGATCAATCATTTTTATTGGTTTAAATTGATTTTTCATCTTTTTTTTTTAATTTTAATTTTTTACAATTATATTTTTTTTTTTTGTTGCTTTAAAAATCAATTCTAAACAATGGTAATATTTTCCTTTTTCCTTTTCCAATTAATCGATTAATTCTTTCATTCATTCGAGCTCCAAATATAATAGTTAATTATTTATTTGATTAATTAATTGAATTTTTTGTAGTCTAAGAAAGTAAAGAAAGTCAAAGTAGAAGAGAACATTTCACTTGGACCACAAGTTCAAGGCGATGAAAAAGTTTTTGGGGTAGCACATATTTTTGCTTCATTCAATGATACTTTTGTTCATGTAACTGATTTATCAGGCCGAGAAACAATTGTTCGTGTAACTGGTATGAATATACTCTTCTTCAAATTATTTGTTTATGCTGTCTTGAATAAATATTTTATTTATTTCGAGTGTTCTTTTACTTTCTAAAATTTTTTCAATTTTAAATTGAGAGATTTTTTATGATATATATATATTATTCATATTATAAATAAAGGGAATAGTGGTGAAACACATAATCCCCAAAAAAAATATTCCCTCTCACTAATTCATTACAAATATAATAATAATAATAGGAGGTATGAAAGTTAAAGCTGATAGAGACGAGTCATCACCATATGCAGCTATGTTAGCAGCACAAGATGTAGCAGCAAGATGTAAAGAATTAGGTATTACTGCTTTACATATTAAATTACGAGCAACTGGTGGTAATGGTACAAAAACACCCGGACCTGGTGCACAATCAGCTTTAAGAGCTTTGGCTAGATCTGGAATGAAAATTGGTAGAATAGAAGATGTCACTCCTATTCCAACTGATAGTAGTACGTATATCCTCATTCATTATTTGTATTCATTATGTATTTTTTTTTGTGTGTGTGTGTGTAGGTGAATATGGATGGGTGTTAATAAATATTCAACAATGAATTAATTTAATTTTTATTATTTGTTAAATCTTAGCTCGTAGAAAAGGTGGTCGCAGAGGCAGACGTCTGTAAAGAGTAGTAGCAACATATTATTTATATTATATAGAAAATGAGAATTTAATTAAATCAACAAATAATATTGTGTTTATTATCTTCGTAATCATAATAATAAAAGACTTTATTGATCAACGAATATTCAAAATTATAAATAAAAAAGCAATAATTAATCAATCGTCCATTGCACATCGTTATTCCTAAAATAAATTTATATTAAAAAAATAAAAAATATTTCAAATAATAATACCAACAATAATAAATAACCTTAGTTGTAATAACATCCTTAGCTTCAGCTAATCTTTAAATTAATAATAATAAAAAAAAGATTTTGTCAGTAAAAATTCAACTGGATTATTATTAGGTTTAAAAATTTAATACCAATTTTATCAACCTAATTAATCATTTCAATGCTTTTCATTTATCATTTTTTATAGTCACTAAAATCTGATTTTAATTAATTATTATTATAAAAAAAAATTGATAAATAAAAGTTAACGATTTATAATAATAAATTCTTAAGAAATTTAATTCTACTTGTGTGATATGCCAACGGATGTAATTTTGTCTCCATCATCATTATTATCAAAATATTTATCAGAATATATCTTGTTGATACGTAAAAACCATAATCCAAATATGCAATTTCACTAGTTACTTAATTTTTCGAAATTTTTTTTTTCTTTTACCCGAATCCGAATTCTAAAATGGCACATCGTCTATAGTACATAAAAAAACATACTTTCTGATAAATTACGATTAAATCTGACATCGTATTGCTTTTGTACAGTAAAAATGTTATTAATATAAATAATTAAAATTTTGTTGCAATGTTTATTTTTAGTTGTTTTTACTGGAGATATCATTGGCAGAGTTTGTCGCGATCCATTGAAGATTTGTGCTGCCGGCCTGCATTGTGGATCATAGTTGATATGGTATCTGGGATTATTGATCCCTGGATAACAAACGGGCTTGTTTCAACTACAATATTCCATTAGTCATCACTAAATATACTCTGATAGGGACAAGGTTTACAGACCACAAATATGGAGGACAATGCTAAGGTTTCATAAGCCTTATGAAATTAAAAAAGTGCTAACATAGCAAATTGCCATTATTTAATAACATCATGTAGTCTAAATTATTTTTTAAAACAATGAATAGTATAAATTTTACATCAAATAAAATAAAACGATTTATCGAGGTGCCGTCCAATCGTATGTCGTGCACGTGACCTAGTCTCATTTTAATATTTTTATTATAAATGATGTCACTTGTGAAAAATTAAATCGGATAATTAAATAATTCTACATATATTAATATTTAAGAGCCTTGCTCATAAGATTTCATAATTAATAATAAACAAATTATTAATAAAACACTTTTGTGGTTGGAAATTAAACAGTAGGGTTTAATTGTTTGTTTGGTTGTTAGAATGGTATAGAACTCTGAGGTTTTGGTTATTTGCTTAGTAAAGAAGCAAAGGTTTTGGGTTTTTGGTTTTTGTAAACATTTTGTTAAGTGTAAATGTAAGGAAAGTGACGGGCAAAAATATTAAGCGTCAACAGTTATTACTGATTGACAACCTATACAAGGAGTTAACAGTTATTGACCAAAGTCATTATCATATGGGGCATGCTGCAACAAAACCAGACAAAGTGAACATTGGTATTACCAAGAATTTCAGGGATCAAATTTTAGTAGTGTGATTATTAAAATCTTCCATTTGTTATCAGGTGATATATAGAATTACTCCTAGATAAAAATAGTTAATATGAAACTAAGGTTTCCGGCCGAAACTCTCTCAATTAGTAGCCGAAATTGCTGAAACACTTTGGGCAAAAATTACTTTTTTATAAGCCCAAACTATTTTTTGTTATTAGCCGAAATTGGGTGAAATTACTTTAAAGTTGTTTAAGTTAAAATAAGTTGATTGGTATAGTTTTTTAATGTTCATGTTTATAAAAAATATTGAGAAGCCCAAATTGCCCAAACTAGTTTGGGCTTTGAGAAAACAGTTTTGACCGGAAACCTTATATGAAACTCATTTACATCATTATGTCAATCATACCAAACACATCAACCTTCAAATCAACTGCATCAATCATCTTATCCGTCATGTTTAATTCATTCACCAAACTCGTCATTCATCTCCAAATCCAACTTACCCAGGAAATAGTTATAAATATGATAATCGATCAAGATTACAATAAGATTTAATTATTTATAACAAAAGTTGAAGAATATTTGTAAATTTTTTAATTATTGTTCTTTTTTTATGTAATTATTTTTTAAAAGAATGATTTCTTTACCGTAATAGTGATAGTAATTATAATTATTATGATTATGATTATGATTATTATATAATATTGTAAATAGTTTTTCCTTCGACGCTCAAATAAAGAAAATATAGATTAAATTTAAATTTTAATACAAATAAAAAGAAATTAATAATGATGCAATATTAATGCTAGTAATATATATCTATCTTTTAATTTTACTTTTTTTAATAATGTTAGAAATTAAATAGAAACTTGAGATGCAATAATACAATAATATTATTGTTATTATTAAGTTTTAACCTTTTTTTGCGATGCCGATGTGAGCTGCTTTTGCAATAAGCCCAAATTCTAAACTGTTTTCAGTATCCGCTTGAGATGATCTTACCGGGGAAATATTAACTAACACCAACACCTTGGAATTTCCACCTACATATGTATAATATACATATATACACATACATATATTTATATATTATTATTATTATTATTGATATAAATAAAAACAAGTTTAAAAAAAATCCATATACAACATAACAATAATGGTTCACCTAATGAATTCTTCAAAACATAGGTCAAGGTGGAGTCACGGTAATTGATATGGCTCGCATTTTCCTTTATGTTTTGTATAACTGTTTTTAGACTGCTGAGACTCTTGTTAATATTTATCGTTTCAACTTGAAGATCTCCAGTTGATTCGTAAGCTGATATTTTCTCTGAACCTGCCAGGTCAATAAGGTTCAAGGAACCCGATAGTTTCTCATTTGTAACAGAATTAGAACCTTTGATATGAATCATAAATATGCTGTGACTTCTTGAAGAATTATCGTTCATTTTTGTAGAAGCAACAGTTCGGTTCTTTGTTGCGAATCTAAGTACTTGATTAACACAATCTGGTGATTCAAGGTTCACTAAATAATAATAATAATAAAATTATTTATCATCATCACCATCATCATTATTTTAAATGACTCTTCTTTCTTTTTTACCTGTTTTCACATTAGCAATCCTTGTTGAACCCTCTTCAATGTCATGTGTTATCTTCACATCTTTGGATTCTCCATGTGAGATAAGCAAATCATAGATTTGATCATTATATATTTCGATGAATTGACCTTCGATAGTATAATTCCACCCCTGAAAATTCAATTTGTTGATGAGGCCAAAGATGTGTGTGAACGCTCTTGTGATCATACCCTCACTTTCCGGAGTATCATCAGAACCTTGCATTGTGTAAGTTTTCCCCGCACCTGTTTGACCATAAGCAAAAATGCAACAATTGTACCCATCGACCACCGATTGGACAACGTCAGCAGCGACCTCAGCGTATACTTGTCCTTGAGTGCTATCAGGTTTGAAAACATGATCAAATTTGTATTCCTTGAAAATATTTTTCTTTTTGTTTAGGTAATCTTTCACAACAGAACCAATCATGATTTTTTTGCTTTCACATTCCCCTGGGTACTTGATCTCAATAAGAGGGACATCTTTCTCAGCAGGAGTTTGTGGACGAACTCTGCAAAAAACGCGAATTTTTCCTTTTATATCTTGAATGGCGTTGTGTAGGCGGTGACGAGTGTTTTCATTTTTAAAAAATTCTGTGTTCAAATCTTTGATAAACATTTTTTCTTTTTTAATTTTCTCCCCAATTACGATCGATTCCCTAGCCATAGATTCTTCAGCCTCTTTGAGACTAGTCAGTTCGTTGCGATCTTTTTTGATTCTATCATTTAATATCTCCAATTCCTGATATTTCTTCGTGATCTGCGAATCAAGATTTGCAATTTTTTCTTTAGTGGTTAAAAAATTACTTTTTACTTCACAGCTTTTTTCTGATAATTCCACCATTCCAACTTTTTTCTCCTCAATTTCGATCCTAAGCCTTTTATTCTCTTTTATACATGTTTCAAGCTGGGTAATTAGGTCGTTGTTGGTAGTGATAGTTCTGATAAAAGTCGAAATCTTAGTAAACTAAAACATTTATTTCTTAAATGATAACTAAAGTAACGACGAGTGGCAGGCGATAAACACTACCACCATCCTTATTCTTAAAACACTTACCCAGTGATATTTTTTTCTTTATCGCTTTTGTTTCTTTTTTTCGTGTTTTTAAATCTGTCTGACATTTTGTTTTTAAAGGATAAAAAAAAGTTTTGTTATTTGATCGACATGTACACACTAATTATTTATCCTATTGGTTTTTTTTTTTTTTTTGGTAGGACAGACGCGAATTGATTTTTTTTTTGGAAAAAGAAAAAACAATTTATTTTTTGACAGAGCCCAAGGTGACAAAATGTGAGTGTTGTTGTTTGGTTTGGTTTTAGTCCCTAAAGAAATGTGTTAATAACTAACCAGAGGTACTATTTTTTACTTGTATTGATATTTTTGGTTATTATAAACATTTTAATCGGAAATCAAAACGCGGAGCAGATCTTGCTGGGTAATTACAAGATTTTCTTTGATAATATTTTACTTCTCGTAATCAATAATAATATTAATCAATAATATTATTATTAATATTATAATTACAAGATGTCAAGGCAGCACACCGTTGAAAAAGAAACAATTCAAATATGTGATGTTTGATTACAGGAAAATAGCAGGCGTTGAAGCACGCACGCTACCTTGAACACTACAGTCATTCTCACATCTTCCTCATGTACAAAGGCTAATCTGACTAGTGTCCCCCAATGATACAATGATGCAACTGAATTCCAGGGGGGGGTGGACATGTCCTGGAGTTTACCAAGACTGCATCAATCGTCAATGACGTTTTCACTAATCCTCCCAGACCAGAGATGGCTGCTGGTATGCTGGTCGAAAAGTTGCCTGCAACGATCCGCCTCTAGGGCAAGGATGGCACTGTGACCAAGTCGCAACTCTGCTGATGAATATTAAGAGAATCTGCAGCTCGTTTCCAGCACAGGAGGTCGCAATTCAGAGCAGGGTTGGTGGCCCTGAAATTGCATTTGGATTCTGATGTTAGGAGGAAAGTTGTAAAATAGTGTTTGTTTTGTATAATCATTTTCATAAATGCTCTGTTTCTCTGATACTAACCAATTTAATAATTTTGGGTAGGGGACTGGATTCTGTCCTATAGATTAAAATTATTGCATGATTATATACATCTTTGTCAACAATATGGCCAACAAGGAAAAAGTTATAAAAATGGTTCAGATTTTGTTTGGTATGTTATGTTATAAATTAAATGTTCCCATAAATATTCTGCTTCTCTTTAATTTTTATTTGACCAACTGAATTTGTTTTTTGAATGGGGGTAGGTTGTTGGCGAGTAGGCATGCCACTAACAAGACAGGAGACACCTTTGAGATATACCAGCCAAACTCATAGAAAGAGATCTTTTGTCCAGACTTAGGGTCACATGGATGTTAAGCACAGAAAATGCACACTATCAATGTATATTTTTTTTCAACAAAATAAACATTTAAATAATTAATTGTTAAATATTAATACTTTTTCTTTTCATAAAAAATTACAGCAACCCAGGACTCAAAACTCTGAATTCAGGGAAAATCCAAAACAGCAATCCAGGTTGCAACTTCTGAGTTGGAGAATTTTCAACCAGTTGCAGACACCAACTTTTATTCTAGTGTGGCAATAACACAAAGCAATCATCACACAAATGTCAACTCCCATCAGCAATCAATGCCCATATGGTAACATCTAGCTTGGTCTGAGTGGAAGATAGGGAATGTTTTGTCCAAAGCCTTCCAACATGTTTTCACCTTGCCCATGGAAAAAAAATTCCATGGTTATGAGGCGGTGTGAAAGCACCTGTTGACTTGTTTGTGATAGGAAATTTTAATTAAATCTGACACCTGCAATCAACATCAGGTTTATTATTCATGAGCAACCATAATTGATAATCAAGAAAAGTAATTTATTATTGTGAACCCCAGAGATCTGGGTAGACAGGCATTGTTAAGAGTTTTGTTTATGCATGGCCTTGGTATCATTACTACCTGGGTGATGCAATTGTTTGTTATATCAAATACAACATCAAATGTATTAAATGATAATCATGACCATCATAAATATTTGATGGATGGAGGCATTCACATACAGGGAAATGATTAAACAGCCAAGTCATGTTTGTTTTGTTTTATTAAAGATATATAATTAATTATATTTAAAAAATTATTATTTTATTTCACCTTTGT